AGGTTGGTTTAACATATGGAAATCAATAAATATAATTCATCACATCAATAGATTTAAAGATAAGAATCATATGATCATCTCAATAGATGCAGAAAATGCATTCAACAAAATATAGCACCCCTGTATGTTCAAAACACTAGAAAAACTAGGGATAACAGGAACATATCTCAACATTGTAAAAGCTATCTATGCTAAGCCCAGGCCAACATCATTCTAAATGGAGAAAAACTGAAGGCATTCCTTCTAAAATTGGGAACAAGACAGGGATGCCCTCTTTCACCACTTCTATTTAACATAGTTTTTCAAACACTGGCCAGAGCAATTAGACAGATGAAAGTAATTAAAGGGACACAGATAGGAAAAGAAAAACTCGAATTAGCACTATTTGCCAATGATATGATTTTATACCTAGAAGACCCAAAAAATTCCACTGGAAAACTTCTAGAACTAGTAAACAGATTCAGCAAAGTAGCAGAATATAAAATCAACACCCATAAATCAAAGGCATTTCTGTATATCAGTGAACCTTCTCCACTGAGTTGGTCAAAACAGTAGACCGCACTGGATGGTCACTGTCTATGTCCAACAGTCCTTCTTTCCAGTTCTTCTTGAGTTATGTACTGATGGAGAGAGTGAGGGGTGGGGGTGTTAACCCCTCCCTGGTTTGTGTTGCTCTCTGAGCTGCCAGTTGGAGTGGCCTAAGATTGAACCTGTCTGATTGAACACTGAGCTTCCCTTCTCCCGGTGTGAGGTGGGATGGGTTGAGATGCACGGCCAGTTGGTATTGTGTCCTTTAGTCCAGCTCAGTGCGCTCCCAGGGTACAGCCTCCACAGCAGAGCTCTGTGAGTGAGGTTCCAGTAGGTGGTGGTGAGGTCCAATCAGGACTCTGGGGCTTTGCTGGTGGGGACGTTGACCCACCCCTAGGGCTAGACAGTATCTGATCTGTTCTGTGGGTCTGGATCTCAGGAGCCTCCCAAGAAATCTAGTCCTGGGGCCAGGGGACTGATCTTTCACTCTCTGTTTGTTGCCCAGGAGACCAGCCTTCCCTGGCTTAGTCCCTGAGTGTTTCCATCCCACTCAGCCAGATGTCTGGCCTTCTTCAGTTGGTTATCTCAGCTGCCAGACCCAAAGGAGAATCCTGTTGGACTCCCTTTCACCCTTCCTTCTTGAATCCCCAGGTACAGTGTTCTCTGTACCAATTTCTCTCATGTTTCATCTGGGCCAGCCTAGGTCCCTCAATAGGTTCCTGATGGAAAATTGTGGCTATGTGTGTGTTTTTTCTTTCTTATTTACTGGGTCCTGTAATTATCACAGTGATGCATTCACCTGCAACATGGCACCACCTCAGCAGTCTGCCACCAATTAAGATACAGAGCTCACTTTTCAAACACCAGTGCACAGTGCAGGCTCTGGACCAGGAATATTGGACAGTGTTTTTGTTCTCAGTTTCTAATACCAACAGTGTATTCCCCCTCCCTCTGTGGTGAATCAGCACTGGTGGCACCCCTTGGGCTACTTGATTGGCTCCAATGTATTCTTCCTTCTTTTTTATAGTTCCCAAATTTCTGAGTCCCTAAGGTGCTTTGAATGTCCAGCACTAATTTTAGTGAAACTCCTCTTTCACCCACTGCTTTCGTCTCACAGTAAGGTACAGCTTGGGATGTAGCTTCCCCTATTCTGCCATCTTCTGTCTCCTCTTACTAAACCATGTTGGATTCTTAAAAGCAATCATGTGAGTTTTCTTAAAAGCATTGGACTTTAGCTCTTCTATATGGATGGGAAAATAAAAACTGGGAAATATAGTAATTTACATATCACAGTTGGAAATAAATTTTATATAAGATTTTCTTAAAGATATGTCTTAAAATAAATAAGTTATTTCATGTAGTTTTAAAAGGTACAGCATAGTTTAATGCACATTTGATTGTGCTATTATTGTTTCTTTGGTACAGAGATTGAACCTAGGGTCATTTAACCACTGAGCCACATCCACAGCCCTTTATTATTTATTAATTTTTTAAAAAATTTTGAGACAAAGTCTCACTAAGTTGGTTAGTCTGTTGTTGAACTTACAATCCTCTTACCTCAGCCTCCTGAGTTATTGGGGTTATATGCATGTGCCACCATGTTTGACTTGATATGAACATTTTTAATGCAAAACAAAAACACAAGAATCTAACACATTGAGATTGAAGGAAGAAAATCAGGACAAAGGAAGTCTGTGTCACTAGTTTAGAATATATATTTATTACTTCTTTCACTCTCATTTCCTTATTTACAAAAAGGTAATGATAATGATGATATTTAACTAATATAAATTGAAAGAGGGGGTAACATCTTGGGAATAATATACCTAACAAGCCAAATGTTGTTCTAAAAAGGAGTTATTCTAAACCATAACTCATGTTGCCCAGATGAAATTCTTGGAGTGGGATGATTGAGAAGAGTAGGATCAGAGGAAGACCAAGGGAAATAAAGAGGGTGATTTGTGATGGAATTGGCAGGCTTGTTTTTCCTTCGGCATTGGAAACCAGAAATTCTCAACAAAATGACCTTTGAGAATATTAAACTTCAGTAGAGTACTAAGTAGAGACCAGAATTGAAGAGGGCTGAAACCTCAGAAAGCAATATTGGGAATAACATTTTAAGACTATAAAACAAAGATTGCAGTGACAGGACAGCTCTTATAGGGAGAGTTCACTATTGAGGAAGGATTCAAGTGATTCAGGTGCAGCCTCTAGCTACAGAGTCAGCTAGCAGAACGGAGGCAAGAAAAAGGGCTGCATACTCCCAGGAATCAGAGTTCATACCATAGATAGGAGAACAATTTCCAGAAGTTCTGAGGAAGGGGAACCAGTAATGAAGACTCCATATTTCCCAAGGTACATGCAATCTGCTTTTCCTGGATTTGGGAGGTTCTATGTCTTAGGTGTGCAAGACACAAGTATATGGTAGTCTTTGCTTCCCTGGTGAGTCATCTTAATATTTCGTGAGGCTGGCTTCCTGTTTTTCTCCTCATTTTAAACAATGAGGAAGTATGTGGTGATAATGACTGACAAATCTATGGTAGTATATATTTTTTAAAAAAAGATTGATCCCTTTTATTGCCATATACATCAAGAAACATGCTAATAGCACTTAAAATGTACTATGCAAACAAGATCCAAATGAATGTGTACTTTGATTTTCAGTTGTTTTCACAAAATGTTCTAATAATTACACAGGGACAGTAGAGAGACTTCATCACTATCAAATGGCCACTCTGGCTTATCCCTGGGAAACTGCCTATTGGTAAGACTATTGCTTTAATAATGCTAAAAATACCATCATGATCCATTCCTAGAGTAGGTAAGAAAGGTGAAGGAGAATAACTAGATTTCATCAGTGATCGAGAAATATCCACATGAATTATTTGAACCTGTCACTGTGGAGAGACAAGGTACTTTGATGTCTGGCCGGTTTCATAAAGGTCTCCAACATCATTCTCTCTCTCTCTCTCTCTCTCTCTCTCTCTCTCTCTCTCTCTTGGTGTTATAAAGCTAACTTGACATGATGCTAAAACAACTGGTATTTTTGGTCATATCAAAGAATGAATTGGTTTGTTGAAAATAGATTAAAAAATAAGTTGTTTGTGAGAATATGGCTATAAACTTCTTAACCCCTTCCACTCTTATCCCCAAAGCATCACATGCTTATTTTAACTTAGATTTTCTCATTTTCACCAGTAGGCTGGCCTGCTGTAAATACAGTGCAAACAAATGTCACAATTATGGCATCCTAATGGATAATTTAATTCAGTAAGTAAATATTTATTGAGTATTTATTAGGTACTAGATAATTTTTAAACCCTGGTGTATAAATATGAAGCAAAGTCCCAATTCTTGAGACATTTAGAATGTAGCTTCTAAACTAAACCTGATTGTTTATCTTCAATACAGATTCCATTGCAGATGAGGAAAATGAAATCAACCACTGCTTCTTTATTTCCCCCAGTCTTCTATGCATATATTTACTAACTACGAGTAAACCTAGGTTGAGAGCAACTTGAGAGAGAGCCTGGAGTACTGAATAAAGGAAATCCTTTTTCTTGAAAACCTGGGGAGCTAACTGCATGTATTGATTGTCCCACACCTGTTTATCTAGATTCTAAGCTAGGAGGGCAGAACCTTGTCATGTCCATTGTTGTATCTCCAGTCTGTAAAACAGGGCTTGGATTCTGAGTTTCATAGGACATGTAGCAAACTTCCCTAAAGGGATGATTCTGTTATATTTTGTGAGAGAAATTTGATGCTAGTATAGTTGGTAAAACTGCATTTTATGTTGGCACATCACTTAGCCATGACTATTTTTCCAGCTGTTTCAAACTTTTACCACTGGATTCTAGCAGGAGAGAATAAGACCTTGAGCTCTGTACATGGTTAGAGTCCTTGACCTGTTTTTGTGATTACACTGTTTTCCTAACATATTCCTCCTTTTTCCTGATTTCTTTTTTCTTGCATTACTTCTCACTTTTGGCCCTGCACTCATCCTCTTGCATCTGTAATTGTGTCTGCAGTTTTGAAACTCCCATAGTAGTGCTGAAATTGTGCTGTAGTCTGTCAAGTCTTCTAGTTGCCTTTAGTAATGACATTTTTTGATAAACCTACCAAATGCCATAATTGGCTTGAGGCTTGACTGTTATGTCTGGCATCCATACATATTGCCTTAATCTACTCTCCAAGAGAAGTAATCAGACACAATAAACATTCAATAAATATTTGTTCATTGAGTGCATCTAGTCATAATAGTACTAAATATATAATGGAGTCATTGCCTGGATGATAAGAGTTCCTTAAATGAACAGGTTTTCTTCAATTGGAGGAATTCTTCTCTCTTCTCACATACACAGTTTAGTTGAATATAATGTTTTCTTTTCTTTTTTAACCTTTATTTAATTTATTTATTTATTTATGTGTTCATTTATTTATTTTTACGTGGTGCTGAGGATTAAAGTCAGGGCCTTCCACGTGCTAAGCAAGCACTCTACTGCTGAGCCACAAACCCAGCCCTATTGTTTTCTTAAATAACCTACCTCCCTAGTTGTTTATGATCAAGAGGATGAAAAATTTTCCACACCTTAACAATTTATATGCCCTAAAATTAACCCAAATTCTCTTACTAGAGCAGCACTGGAGGACTAAGAAAATAGGAGTAGAACCTAGAACCTTGCAATTGGCTGATCAAATAATTCTTTTTCGAGTCAACAAAGGAGTCAGCAATGCCTTCAGTTCATTTTGCTGTCATTATTCTTCAGGATCATGTGGCCCTCGTGTGCTACTTTTACTCTTTCCTGAACAAGAGTTTCATCTTGTGAATTGTTGAATTTGCCATTTAGTCAGAGGGTATATGAGTACAAAGACTCACATTTGGACTTGCTTAGGAGAAATAAATATTATTTAAAGGTCCCGGACTTGAAGATAATGCTGTGGTTATGAATGAACAACACTGGGCTGTCTCTCTTAGGAACGACTGGAGAGTGTTTCTGATTGCATGTGGGATAACTGCATTCTTCTTTATGCTGATAGTAATAAGAGGGAAGTTTTATGAGCTTGTTTTTGGAAGAAGGTGTATGTGTGCTACGCAGTCAAGAGGTAAGAATATTTTTCATAAATTGGCATGGGTGTCTGACTTCCAGTACTTTTTAAATTAAGAAATCTCCAGAAATATCTGCTATCACCTTTTCCTTGAAAAATATTTTTTTTTCCTGCACTACTAATACTATCCTTTTAAAATATACTCCTAGTACTATCTAATGGTCTAAAGAAATATTTTATTTTCCTTACATGACCTTACTAGGTCAGCCCCAGTGACCAAATATCAGTTTTTGGAGAGGTCACATGTCCCAAGCTCATCCAATCACATATTTTTTTTCCCCTGAGATTTTTCAAATTCACTTGGATGCCATATCTCTAGAAGAACAAATCAACACCCTGAAGCAAAGGCAAGAATAGAGGGAGAAAAATAGAATAAAATGAAGAGAAGGAAAGAGTGACAGAAAAGAGGTCCTGACAGGGTGAAGCTCCATTTTTACTTACAGAGCATTCTTGTTTCTGCCTCCTAGAAGTTGAGTCTTTCATTTTTTCCTTCATTTTAATAAACACTTTGTAGCCTTTCAAAACATACTCCATTCATCTACATTACTTCATATTAATTTTCTTTTACCTTATAACTATAAAAGTTAGGGAATGTGCTATACTAGTTTGCAATTCATTTATTTGTTGATGAAATTAAAAATCAAAAAATCAAAATGACATTTAATCAAAATAAAATAGAATATTTCTACTACATCAAATGACATAAGAACAAATACTGGTTTGACACTTTCATTTCATTTTTTTGATAGTATGTGTGTACACATGTTTGCACTGGATCACTATAGGGTCATGCTCCAAAAAGTTTGAAAGCCACAGCACTGAAGTACCTGAATCTGTGACTCAGTAGGACACTTTTAGGATGTAGGAAATCAGTCTAGATAGTTTCATTTTAATGAGCACCACAGGTATGTGGGAGGTGAAGAAAACTGTGAGAAAGCCTGAGTCATTAAAGAAACTTCTCTGTACTTGGAGCAAAGTATTCTCCCCAAAGTGACACTATGTGGAATAATTCATGCTTACATATTTGGTGAGAACTGCAAACCAAGAGACAACAAAGAATTTCCTTTCAATTGCTGCAGCCTTGTGAGCTGCAGGAGAGTTCCAATTACCCAGGCAATTGGCTTACTAAAAAATTTCTGTATTATGCAAAATCTGAGAAAAAATCTGAGTAAGTTAAGAGAATCATGACAATGAGGATTGTACAATCATAGAAGGATAATGGGTGTGCAGCACAACTGATTAGAAAAATAAAGCAAAACATCAGGATGACTTAGCCATGAATGTACATCTACATCAAATTTGTTCAAGACTGCTGGAAAGACAGTTGCTTCCTATTTATGGAATTAGCTCCAATGGGAGGGATACAGTCATTAAGTGGAACCCAGTGTGATAGAACAGCCTTAGTATTGAAATGAGTAACTTAGTGGAATGACTATTCCAGTTGTTCTAAGCTAGAGTATGCATGCAGGGAGAAGTATCTTACTTGAAGAATGAGTTGCAATGATGAAATTGTCTTAATAAAAACTATAAACTTCCTAACAGAAAACACAACGATAGAAGAGTTCTGGTTGTACTTGAACATTGGGGTCAGCTCCTGTTTAAGACCCTGGAATGGACACTTTATGGTAGGTTTTGTGCTGTTTAATACAGTAGCCATATTTGAATATTGAGCACTTTAAATAGTACAATTAAGGCACTAAATTTATTTAAATAAAATTTGATTTAATTTTGGTTTATTTAAATTCAAGTTGAAATCATCATGTAGTGACTTTAGTAATGCACGGAAAAAACAAAGCAGTGAAAGTATCTAGAAGTTTGTGAAATATGATGGGAAATAGAACAGGTATGTTAGTAAACTTTGAGAATGAGTGACTGTGGTAAAAAGCAAAAGTTGCCTCTGCTTACTTGCTGTATACTTTTTTCTGGAATTCTCACACATATTTAGCAAGGTCTTTTGGAAACTTCACTCTTACAGATTTGTGCTTACGAGATTCATAGGAAGGAGTTTGGCTGAAGATTGACCTGGGTGAGGAGAAAAGTGCATCCTTGGGCTCTAGAGGAAACAGTTACAGGGGGATCAAAATAAAAGATCTTGGCTCCAAGGTGTGTAAAATTTTGAGTATAGTTTAAACATTAATTCAAACTTATTCATTTTGTATTTTAGCGAGATTAAATGAAAACATGCTTTTGTTGAATTCTATATTTTAAGAGTTATAAATTGAATAGTGGCTAAATGGACATATGTCTCATTATCATCTAATTCACTTAATAGTGAACCTGACAACTGATTCTAAAGAAATTTATTTTTTGTATTCCCTACAACAGTGGTGACATTATCATCCTATGAGTCATCCACATAGAAAACTCAAAAACATAATTTTTATTTCTAAATTTTAAAGGAAAATGTTAAAATATTATATACAACAAAGTATTGCATATGTTTTATGTGTCCAACAGAGAAAAATATAAAACACAGGTAAACAAAAAGGAGGGGAAATTTCCCTATTGACTCTGCAATTAAAACTATAGTTAAATTTTGTCATATACGTCTCCAGAAGTTTTTTTTTTTGTTCCCCTGTGTCTAATAAGGATGTATCTACTTGCATGTACTCATATAATAAAACGTAATATCACAGCATAATGGTTTTTAATTTACTGTTTTTCACTTTCCCTGTAAATAAATATAGATGAAATTAACTTTGCTTAAAAACATACACATTTGTATATATTTTGTTTATTTTGTGCATGAACCAGAATTAATTTACCCACTTCCCTCTTGTAAAACATTTATTTTTCTTTTCCCCCACCATCATAAAAGTTCTATCTTAAACATTATTGTTGTACTTATTTACATATTAATGCACGTATTTCCTCAAGGATATCAAAAGGTATCCTTTTGACTAGATAGTTACATTTGAGATGTCATGCATTAAATTTTGATGATTTCTGTCTTTTTAAAAATATTTGTTATTTAGTTGTAGGTGGACACGATACCTTTATTTATTTTTATGTGGTGCCAAGGATTGAACCCAGTGCCTCACGTGTGCTAGGTGAGTGCTCTACTGCTGAGACACAATCCCAGCTCTGATCCCTGTTTTTAACATTAATAATGACAATAGTTGAGATTATCAAGCACTTACTATGTGCTAAATATTACTCTAATTGCTTCCTGTGAGTTAATTCAAATAAGTGTGGCTATTATCTCCATTTTACAGATGACAAAACTCAGGCAAAGAAGGGTTAATTAACTTGCCCTAAATAATTTAGATTGTAAGGAGCAACCAGAATTTTAATTCAAATCCCCTGAGTCTTTGCCCTTCACTGGAATCTCTACCATTTTTCTTCTCCATGAGCTTTGCTGTATGGGCTCACATAAGAAATGCCTTTCAGTATTATTGCTTATATAAAGGAGTGCTTCTTGAGATTTTTTTTTCTCTAAACACATTGGTAAATATGCCACTACTCAAGTATCATAAATTTATCCAAATGACAAAGATAATTCTTTGGTTTTGGGTTATCTCATACTCAGATAGGAAAATATAGACCTATCAACAGCAATAGCAATAAGAATTATGAAATTTATTCAGTTTCTATATTCTAGTTAGCAATCACAACAGGCATTATTTTTCTTATATTTGTATAGTGGTATTTACTTATGACTGAACACATTGCATTAGCTTTTCCTTCTGGATTTCATGGGAGGAGGGGTGATGAACCCTGTTTTATTCATTTCAGCTATATAGGGCCTAGCACCATGAGATTTCTGAAAGTTATGTAAGCCCATGATCCTTTGACCTTATTTGGCCATAAAATACTTTCATAGACTTGTAGCTTCAACAGATACAAAAACCCTACTATCTTTTGTCCTAAATGACCAGTGATTTATTAGAGAGGTTTGACACATCCCAGCACTGGGAACCCCTTGAACTGACTCTCAGAAGACAATTAAATGTGTACATTGAAGGGTGTTCTCACATAAAAATATCATGAGGGGAGTAAGTAATTTTTCTCTTTTCATATTACTGTTATGCTCTCCCTGACAGAGAAAAATCAAGAATCAGCTAAAATTTATATATGACTATTGAATCAAAATTCAGATTTTTACTGCCACTGTAAATGCTTAAAGGCATTTTAGTGTTTGAAGTATTACAAAAGGAATTCATAAAAATGAGTAGCCATAAAGATGTGAATGGACTTGTCCATTTCTCAATTCAGTTCCTGTGCCCCCTGCTCATTTTAATTAGCAATTGAAACAAATACCAAGGTAAAATATTAGACTACCAGTTGAGGTTGCCTTTTCCATTTGGAAGTGCAGGCATATCTGCTGAGAAATCTCGGGTGTGACAATGCAATCAGGATTTCAGAAAAGCATAACCAAATGCAATTTATAGCAGCACTCAGAGAAAATTGATTGTGATATTATTTATATCATTTTTCTCTGCATTCATTTCTCAGTCCATGCATATAAAAATGTTACTTTCTAATTCATGGACTACAGATACCATAGATTATTTGAAATTGGTCATACATTTAAGATTTTAGAAATCTTAGAGGAAAAAACATGTTCTACATAGTGATCCATCTTAAATAAAAATATCCATATAAAGAGAATTGATGTCCTTTGTGCTTCCCTGGGCAGGAAATCAGCCTGCTCTACACTGTACTACATTAGCATGAAGTGGTGATGCATAGCAGTATGGTGGGCAGCCACCATTGGCAGTGATAACCATTATAGGAACTAAGGTGCAGCTGAATTCTACATTTGTATTTGAGAATCAGCTTTTCCAGCCTTGAGTCTGCACTTATCACATTCCTGAGAAGGGTCCCCAAAGGCAGAAAACAATGTGAAAGTGATTTTAGGGGTTCTTCTAATAGAAATGATCACTTTTCATCAAGTCATACCCTCATAAAATGCATCTAGTTGTTACAACATGAGATTTTTGTGGAAAAAACCTTCTTATTGCTGCATAGAGAAATGGGACATAAAAGAACCAGCTATAGTCATTAAATTCAAAAGTACTACAGATTGAAAAGTGAATTATGATAAAATAATCTTAAGAAGATAAGAAAGTGTCTACTCTGGTCCCTGATCTTAACTTCATAGAGACACAATTCACAAACCATACAATTCAGTTGTCTAAAGTGTACAATACACAAATGAAAAACCAGCATATGAAAAATACTCAACAACATTAATCAACAGGGAAATGCATTCATAGGTGTAGTCTAATAAATTTGGACTAATAGAGACATAGACTTGAATAGAGATTACTCAGAAGCTGTGGGGAGATTTAGGAGACATTGGTCAAATGACACAAATTATTATGTAGGAAGAATAGGTTCAAGAGATGTATTATATGTGATGATGACTATACTTAATAATAATGGATTGTATTATTTCAAATCACCAAAAAGTAGATTTTAAGGGCTGCTGTTATAGCTCAGTGGTAAAATGTTTGCTTAAAATGCATGAAGCCCTGGGTTCAATTCCTGGTACTGCATTTTTAAAAAAATGGATTTTAAGGCTTCTCACCACAAAACTGAGGTAAAACTTATGCTAATTAGCTTTATTTAACCATTTCAATCATTTATACATATTTCAAAATACCTGGTGTATGTGATAGATATATATAATATATATAATTTTAAATATATATATATATGATAGATATAATTTTATGTCAATTAAAAATAAAATAAAATTATAAAAAAAGTATATAGTTCAATGGTTCTGAGTATATTCTCACAGTTGTAAAGTTATCATCCCTATTTATATTAGGACATTTTCTTCACCTTCAAAGAAACTATGTATTACTATTCACCACTTCAAACCTCCCATCGCCACTTTGATCCTAGGCAAATATTTGTGTAGTTTCTATCCATATATATTGTTCTATTTTGGACATTTCTTATAAATGAAATCATATATTTAGTCATTCTTCATGACTGACTTCTTTCACTTAATGGTTTTGAGGTTCATCCAGATTTTGGAATGAATCTGTACTTCATTTTTTTACTTAATAAATAATAGCCCATGGTATAGCTACACCATATATTTTGTCCTTCCGTTCATTGATTGATATATATTTGGGTTGTTTCTACTTTTGGATATTATGAATAATACCATTATTAATATTTATGAATGAGTTTTATATAGATATATGTTTTTAATTTTCTTGGGTATATACTTAGGAGTAAAATCGCTGCATTTTATTCTAACTGTATACTTAATATTACTGATGGATGGTCAATTTTCCAAAGCTCATGCACCATTTTATGTTCCTACTAGCAGTATATGAGGGTATCAATTTCTTCACATTCTCACCAACATTTGTTATTCTCCATTTTTAATGAGTGAATAGAAAGAAAGGAAGAAAAGGCTTACTGGCTAGCTGTGGAAAGCGAGGTCATCAAAGGAAACATATATGAGTAGTGCTAGGGCCTGACTTTTAGGGCAAAACACACATGAGTGCTTGATCCAAACATGGAAGTACCTGCACAAATGTTGAAAAGATACTAGTTGCATCAGGGTATTGTGTATGCTCCCAGCTACTTAGGAGGCTGAGGCAGGAGGATAATAAATTCAAGGCCAGCCTTGGAAATTTATCAGAACACTGTCTCAAAATAAAACTTAAAAATGGCTAGAAGTGTGAGTCAGTGGTAGAGTGCTCCAGAGTTCATTCCCCACTTCAAAAAGAAAGATACAGGTTATAAGTTTTGTTTTGATTTTGCAGTAATAACAATACAAATAAGATACTTTAGATGAATTTTCTCAAATTGTATGATCCAAAAATCAATTGGTGGAAAATGACATGGCCAAAATGACAAATCATGTGAGAAGATGGATTATCAAAATTATTTATTGGTTACAAAGGAGAGTTTCCCATTAGTAATATAGCACAGTGAAATAATGGCTCTAAAGTTCTCATATCCTACAGGAGGGGTTGGACAGGTAATGGAAAGGACAAAATATGCTCAAAAATCAAGTGTAGATCTAATAATTATAGATTATAAGCAAAGCAATGAGAATAGATTATAAAGCATTTTTATCATTATTAAAAACTTCACCTTTTATATACATCAATTAGATTATAAAT